CATCAGTTATTGTCAATAAATAACAATGACTGTATTAAAAAGAAAGTTTTTCTAATGATGGAATAATTTGATTACTTAAACATCCCCTCCCTGCCATTCTCTATAAAATGTTTATTTGCTGTTGAGAAACTGTTAACATTTTTTTCTTCCCTTTATTTATCTTGATTGGTTATTAAATATTTGACTGCAGTACAAATTCGTTAAATTGGAATATTACTTAAGGTTAGAAAACCTCTGTCTCAAAATATCTTGTGCTATTATTACAGATATAATTTTCTGGTAAATATAACACTGTACCATTTTGTGGCCCTTGTCATTGAGTTAGTGTCTTTGATTGAAAGATTTACAAGTAAAAGACTTCTTTTCCATACATTCTGTGTACATACTAATTACCAGGAAACTTTACACATTATTATTATCATCATTAACAATCCTCTACAACTGTCAATTTTCTTATCAGTAACCCACATTTGATTTAAGTGTTAATCTAAAGTGGGTAATTGATTGACAAAATGTTAAAATAAAAATCTTCACATTAATAATGGTTTTACTGATGGAGTCCATCTTATATAGGTGTGTGTGAGGGGGTAGAAATACAATAAGCACCAGATTCACTGAAAGATAGATTCTTACTTTTAAACTGAAATCTTTGATAACAGAGCCTCATTCAACTTTCTATCACTTTATTTTATTTTTTTTTTAGTTGAAAATGTATCAAAACTGAAGTGACTTTCCATTAAAAAACTGCATTCTTTCAGCTGAAATTAAGGTTAGACTTGATTCGAATAAACAATATGCATTTGTGTGGTTCTGTAAAAGATACTCTTTGTCTTCCTAGACACCTTGTATCTTTTATTTAAATTCTGACATGTCTTGCTCATGTTTTTCTTGGGGCCTCATTTCCCAGTCATTTACACAAGCTCATTAAGTAGGTCCTGCACAGTTTTCCCTTGTTCATCTTGTCTTCAATCTGCCCCATGAGTGTCAAATTTTCTAAGCTCTCTTTCCTCATGTGCCCTTGAAATTTCAACTCTCTCTGTTTGATGTTAAGTATGTTTTATTTCTATTTTCTTTAAAACTTTGTCATTGCTTACATATTTAGTCCATGATGTTCGTAGCATTTGCTGCCATACAGGACGACTGGATATAATGTAACAGTTCTGTATTCTTCTTTGTTTCCAACAAAATTTTCTCATTTCTTAATATTTTGCTTAGTTTTTGGAAGGCATCAATGCACCTTCAGATTTTTCATCCTCTGTTAAAATACTTCCTAGATATTTAAATTTTTGTACTTGCTGGATTTTGGTTACTCCAATTGATAATACTCATATTGGGCTGTTTCTTTCACAGACAACCATACATCCTATCTTGTTACAGTTGATGTTTAGTCTTTTCTTTTTTCTTTCTTTCCTTCTGTAGAAGTGCCTGTAGTTTGCTTTCCGTGTCTGCTATCAGCATTATCTAATATTGTTAAGATTGTGGCTGCCAATAATGAATCCTGGTAAAACTTCTAATTCTCTCAGGATTGCTTCACTGAAAGGTTGAATAAATCTGGTGAGAAGACACATCCTTGTCTTATGTCCCTGTCTATTGTTGTGTATTTATTGAATTCAGTTTTTATCCTCATACTGGAAGCAAACTGTATGCATAATTAGAATCTCCTTCCCAAATAAATCAAGCTTACCTAGCAGTTTGAACAGTTCTTTGTCAAATACTTTTGCATAATCTATAAAACATAGGTATGCATCCTTTTGCATTTATATTGCACTTTCTGAGCATAAATATTGCATTCCTTGTTCCAGTGTCTTTAACAAAACTGTTTTTGCTCTATTTTGGGTCTAATATCTGCTGCACACAATTCATCAGAATTCAGATAAATTTTGTTATATGTCTCTGTAGGCTGATTGTCTGATGGAGTTCACATTTGTTTGCATGTGACTTCTTAGGCAGCACTATGAAGATGGATCTCCTAAGGTCTTTCAGTATAGCACCACTGTTCACTTTTCTGTTTAGATGATTTTGATATTGATGAAATTACAAAGCTGTCAGCATCTCTATTAGTTTTCTGTTCAATTTGGATTGCCTTCTTTTATTGTGGAAGAGTTCTCTGATGTATTCCCTTCCATTTCTGAAGTATTTTTTTTCTCTAACATCAGTGTCCTGCACTTGGATTTTATACATCTAGTTGACAAGCATGTCTTTTGTCCAGTTAATTCTCTTATTCTTTTATGCATATCTGCAATATTTATTCCTTCGATTTCTGCACACTTTTCATTGAGTCATTCCTTTTTCACACCTGCATTTTTCCCTATATTCTGTGCCATATCTTGGCACTATTTGCTGTCTCCTTTTCATCATATCAAGAATTTCATCTGTCATCCATTCCCTTTTTAGTTTTCCTTGGGATGATGTATCTGCTGTTAACATTCTGTATATTTCTCTTCACACCTGAATCATTCGTATTGCAATTTTGGATGTGGCCTTAGCTCTTGTCAGTTTCTATAGTATAGATTACATATCACTAGAAGGGTATGTTTTACAGAACTGCATTCCTAAATCTCTTAATTATGTAGTCAGTTTGATTCTTTGTTTCCTATCCTGGGCTTTTTCTATGTCTACATCTTGGGTGTTCTTGGAACCAGGTGTTGGCTATGTAGTAGCCATTTGACCGATTTTTCTCTACATTCATTATAAATTCTTAGTCCAAATTTGCCAACTATTTCACCATCTTTTTCCTTCACTACTTTGGCATTCAGGTCACCTATGATATTTGCATTGAGCTTTGGCATTTCTTTTTCCTTAATTTGTGCTGTCAGTGCATATTAACTGCAAGAATTCTTTCAGGTAGTTGATAGTATTCCAGAACTCGTTTCTTCATGTCTTGGTGTAACAGAAGTCCTACTCCCCTCTCATTTTTTTTTTCTCTCTCTACATAATAACAAACACAGGGTCATTAACAAAATCTCCATTGTGTTCCCAACTATGCAACTAATAAAATTAAAATCACATTATTTGAATCTATGAAAGTTAGAACTGCTAATGAATCACATGGCATTTTTCTTTAAGTTAATCTGCTTATTTAATTTACAATTAAGATTTAGTAGTAGTAAATTGTGAGAAAGGAGGTGCTGAAAAGATTCATCTGACTAAGAAACCATTAGAAAAAAAATCTTCTTACTTGGGTTGAACTTTATATTTAATTTTGAAGTAAAATCTAATGAGATTGAAACTCTTTAGGCTTGAAATCAAGTTTTAGTGTTATCCTGATGGGGTCTAGATAGGTTCAGCTCAGCTGCTAGTAATGGCATTATTTGACCTTTTTTGTGTGTGTGCAGTTCCCCGTGAGAATCTAAAATAGTAAAGTGTTTTCACCTGCAATTGAAATTCAGTGACTACTATGTTTATAAATAAATATTCCCACACCCAGTGATGTCAATGTCTGAAAGTTGATGATTATCCTTAAAAAGATGGCTGAAATGACTGCTTCAAATACTTGTTCAATTACAATTTACATGATTCTTCTATTCATTTCATTTGCTCAGCTATCCCACCATCATCTAAGGATGATGATGATGATGAAAATGGATTGTCAGACATGAGCAAAAACTAAATTCGACTTACATGGTTACTGAGTTTTTTCTCACGAATCTCACTCAACGGTGGAGCAGCAATAAACACAACAAAGGAAGCAAACTCAGCAGTGCGTAAAGCTTTCAGATCCTGGAAAAACCAAATCACAATACAAAGGCCATGCATTTAACACTAACACTGTACAGTGATATAAACAGGTTGGTCATACCAGCAGCAGAGTTGCATGCACTGAGGAGGAGGAGGAGCAGCAGCAGTGGTAATTGTTGTTGTTGCAGGAACCTAAAATGATAGATGACTGCCAAGTTCCTATTCCAACCTCTGTCATCTTTCTTCTCCTTCCTTACCTGGATGCCTTTTGAGACACACATTTAGTGTCTAGGTTGGGTGGGAGATATATCAAGAGGGGTAGGCAGCGAGACGGAGGCTTAGAATAGACCATGCAGGACAATACCAGCAGAGCATCTACAATCAACTTCCATTACAAAGTTGCCAGTTGCACAACAAAATATGTTTAAGGAGAGACATCTTCATTTAAGATTTAAACTGCTATCAGTTGATATTGACAAGAGTTTTTATTCATCTTATGTTATCATTGTAGTCATTAAAACAAAATTACATTTTGGTGAGTCTTAAAAGTAGTATTTTCCAAAATTTTAGAATTTTCTAGTTAATATAGTAAAAATCGTAATTCCTTTTAGTTTTCTGTGAGTTGTTTGTTTCTTTTAAATAGCGAGCAAAGATATGATTACTTGTCTATATTTCTGAGATGAGGTATTATGTACACTATTTACATTATTTGGACTATTGTACTCATCTTTGTTGCCATATTTATTACATTTCGGCTGTTGTACACTCCGGCCTTCTTCAAGTGGTTGGAATGTTGAACTGAACCCTTTATTTCACTCACTTGGATAGACTGTTCTAGTTCCATGTGCCATATTTAATGGATATCAGTTATCTCCTGTTAATTCCGCTGTTCAAATTCTCCACTGCCTTAACATGGTACATGGAACTAGAACAGTCTACCCCAGTGAATGAAATAAAGGGTTCAGTTCAACATTCCAAGGCCGGATCGTACAACAGCCAAAACGTAATAAATGTGGCAACAAAGATGAAGACAATAGTCTGAATAATGTAAATAGTGTACATACAATTACTTTTTTTTTTTTTTTTTTATTTTGCATTAAATATAAACTGACAATTTTCTAATTGAAGTTGAGGTTAAATATCTAAAAATAAAAGATAATTAAGCAAAAAAAAAAAAAGAAATAAGATGCTGAGAATACATTCCATTTTGGGCATTACAAAGGAACCTCTCCCAATATGAGACAGACAAAAAAAAGAAACACACTCTAAGATGAGTTTTGCATTGGAATGAGGATGTTTGCATGGCATCTGAGAGAAATTACCTCGGTCACTGCTGGTATAGTCGGAGCTGCAATGAATACCACAAAGGGAGAGAATTCAGCTGTTCGCAACACCTTTACTGCCTGAAAAATCATAAGCACACAATATGATTCCCTGTGAAATGTTGAAAGGTCATGAGCAATGACCTTACACTCGGCAACAAGATCAACACTACATTCAAATTAAGAAAAAAAAAAAAACAATTTCTAGGAGGCTATTATGAAACCTCTCCAGTGTATATGAGCCGATGTGGAAATGGTTAAACTGAAAATTCTTTCCAAATAATAAAGAACTATTGCATTTTGTAATATTCATATGTAATGTTTTTACATGGATCAGGAAATTAATCCTCATTAAATTTGATTGTCTGCCAATATCAACATTTATCTTTAGAAGATTTTAAACCCAAAGATCTTCAAAAATATCATGAATTGACTTGAGGCAAAAAAGAGTAATTGCAGATAAGTAATTTTTTCATATAGCATTTAAAGCCAAGATGACTAAAAGGGAATTTAACTTCAGAGTTGATATGAAAACCTTTTGTATGTAGTGACTGAATCAAAGAGTAGACTTTTATAATAAAAGAAAAACACTTTTTCATTTGGAAAATTGAATTTAAAAATGAGATATTTCCAAGAATGGAATTACTTTATGAATAAACATACTGCATAGGAATTCTGACCTGAAACATGGGTTAGATAGAATTTTTGCTAAATGTGGATAAGAACATGTTTTCCTGACCTGAGGTTCTACATCAAGAATTGCCATGAGACTATCAGCATGAATTTGTCGTATCGTTTCAAGTTTTGTCCCATACATGGCATCCTCGTGTGTTCCATACTCTAAATATTCATTCGCCTCTATATCAGCCATCATTTTTTTTCGTGTGACAAAATAGTAGTTTTTCCCATTTTCTTCATCTTTCCGAGGTGGCCGTGTTGTATCTACACAGAGACAAAATATAAATTGTGAACAGATGTTCATTAGAAGTCATGTACATCCATCACCAAAATTTAAATTTGGAAATTGACATGGAAAAGCAGTTATTATACACTTCCTTTTTGAAAAATTTGAGCATTAAATTTCATAATTCATATTTTTATGAAGACGAAAACTATAATTTCTGGAAAGGTTTCTTTTTTTTTTTCTTGACATGTATAGCTGGTTACTTGCATTTGAGGATACCTGTCTACTAGAGCAACTAGCCAATCCCTATTGCAGACACTTGCTCAGGTACAATTGTGTTTGTTCAATACCCACAGAGCCTACCTGTGGCTTATACTGCAACTATGCTGAATAGACCTTAGTTACAGTTTCTGGGAAAGAGCATGTTATATAGCATGATTAACAATTTGAACAAGGCCAGCACACTCAAACTCTCGGCCATGATGACTTGTGACTTTGTGCTAGCACAACTATCAATGGCCCCCAAGGGTTCTGTCTACCCAATTTCACTCACAAGGTTTGGATCTACCTGTGGTATGGTTTTCAGGCACTTTCCAAAAAGTGCTGCATGCTGGGATCGACCCCCCCCCCCACCAGTCTGATAACATCAGGAAGTCTCCTTCCTGAAAAATCAACCATGGTAAGATTCAAACCTTGGTCTCATGGTCAGAATGCGAACGTTCTAACCATTGGGCTACGTGCCCATCAACACCTAAATAATATATGATCATAGATTATATTTTTCATTATAAGTATTCACTATTTTCTTTGAATGTCAGTCAGTCAGTTATGTGCCATGTGTAATACACGCTTAGGTGATCATGTATCTTTCAAAATATGACTGACAAAGCAAATTCTTCTCCCCACAGTAGGTTACCATTTCTTTCTACAATAGGCTATAGAACTCTGTCTGTCCTGCTATTTATCCATAGCTGGGGGAGAAGAGAATTCATACCTTTTCCCAAAGGTATTAGCATGTAATTGAATGTAATGGATTTGCCTGGAATTCATTCCATTAACTTACGTATTAATACCCTTGGGAAAGGTATGAATCCTCTTATTCTTCCCCCAGATTCCTGACCACATGCCCATATTTTCTTGACATACTAGTCAAATTTTGATAGTAGGCATGAAATAAGTATCAGCCTTAAATATCAATTTTTGAGATATTTCAATAATTTGGTACTGTATTTTCCATACTTATAATGTTTTTTTTCTAAGAATATTTTGAATTTATTTTATATTTAATAATGGGAAAATTGTCAATAAAAAAAAATAAAAGTAAATTTTGACCTTAGGATGTCATTACAGTGATTGCACTGGGTCAGAATTTGTTTTGTGAGAAAATGAGTTGAACTAAGTGTTTCATCTCAAATCATTAGAGAATTATTAAACGAAAGTCATTTAAAATCTGAAAATTTTGTGTGGTGGATTTTCAAATCCTTACATATTTTATATCCAATGATTAACGCATTTCAGTAGATTTGTGGTTACACTTTATAAAAAATCAACTTACGTGGAATGGGATAAGCAAATTTATCTGGATGACTGGTAATTAATGTATTTTTAATATGTCGTCTGCCAACACCATGAGCACCTGAAAAAAAGTGGTAAAAAAAACAGTAACAATAGCAATCAGAGTTAATAAGGGCATCAGAGAATGAAATCTGAGAGACAATATTTTAGGTAAATTTCTTTAGATATAAGTTAATTATTATGAATTAATTATTCTTACAAGATTGATTGAAATAATTTTCTTTTATTTCTACTTTCTTGTGATAAAGTGTTGTAACTATTGGCCATTGTATGTAGATAAAAGTTTAAGTGATGATTTACTCTTCTTTTATGAGCTGTGCCCCTTCAAGATATTGGTGATCATGGCCCTTCACATTCTCCTGTCCCTTGTAGCTATTAATAACTTTTGTCTTTTTGTTAGCTCTCCTAAACCTTGTTCTGCCATCCATTTTTACTTAAGACCACTAGGTAGGTTATATATTGTTTTCCTCCACCCCTTTTGCTTTTAATCTGTCTTGTGAGTATCAAATTTTCTATGCCTTCTTTTTTCTCATTATGTGCCTCAGAAACCTCAACAGTCTATTCTTGATGTTAAGTATAAGTTTCCATTTTCTTTCAAACTTTGTTGTTGCTCACTTGTTCGGTCCATGGTATCCTCAGCATCCTTCTGTAGAACGATATTCACTGCCATATAGAAGAACTGACATTACTGTTTTTTAATATTTTTGTATATATGTTATTAATAACGTTTCTGTAGGCAAGCAAATTTCATGTGACATTTTAAAATTCCAATTACTGAAGGAACTTCCACAGATGGTTGCATACCATGTTGGATCCTAAAATCTTGCCGATTTCAATTTAGATTAGCTTTCCTGATTATAGACAAAGTCTTTAATCTGGTTCATCAGTTAAAGTTGCTTTACAGAATTATTTCCTTTTTTAAATATAACAGCTATACATCAATCACTTTACTTATGATTCTTAAGAATATCCAAATTAAACTTCAGGATTCTTATTTTTTAGTGCTTTGCTAGTTTGGTGCTAAACTAAGTATAACAGAAATAGTCTAAAGAAAGAAAATTCTTATTGTCATGATATTAAGCTTCACACAGTTAAACTCTGTTCCAAAGTAAAACCGTACGATATGAACTAATTCACTTAAAAGTGAATGTTATTATTAAACTTGCAAAAATGACAAAACTAAAGGTGTTTTGTTTGTTTTGAAAATAGCAAATATTAAGTGTTCAAATCTGAGCAAAACTCTGCCTAATTTTGGTGAATTTTTGCCTAGAGAGGATAAAGAAATTCTGAAAAGCTCTTTTTACTGATTTACAGCTTGTTTATATTTTCTTTCCTATATTAAAACTTTCCTCTATATTTGAATACATGTGCTTCACATTTGAATACATGCAAGGACGTGTATGGACGTGTGTTTCATTCATATTTGAATACATGTAGGGACATGTGTTTCTTAAATCTAACAAACTAGAATCAGTTTTGATGATGAAAAGGAGGAGTGGTGACAGTGAGTAGTAGGAGTTAAAACTGTAAATGAAAAATTGGTGAGGAAAGATAATCTCATTGGTTAATCTTCTTATAAGAAAGAAAATGAACATGAAATATTCAAGTAAATTTAAATGTGTACTTATTAACAATAGAAGAAAATTTACTCACCTAAAAGGACTAATGTCCTCCTTACAAATGCAGGAAGTCGTACAACTTCTTCATATGTTACTAAATCTAATTGGTCAAATATAGCATTGAGTTTGGCAAGGTATTTGTCTTTCTTCTTGCGTCCAAACCATGAACAATGACCTGCAATTTTGAACATATAAGAAAAAGCACAAAATTAAAACTAAAGCTCACATGAACATTTATACCCTATTTCCAGTCACAGAAGATACATTCTGCAATATGGTCAGTTAATTTCTCAATTTTCTTTGCCAAAAACATTAAATGTAAAATTTCTGATGCCAAGAGAACCCCTGCTAGAGGTGTAGATAAATTAACATCAAGACTAGAAGAAATTACTTCACTCAAGCTGAAGACATTTTAACATCTGAGACTGGAAAATACTTGAAATAAATAAATATATATTCCCAAGTCATATTGGGATAGAATACATGAAGAGACTTGAGACAATGATATAATTTTTGTGTTTTACTAAGTAATTCTTGAATTATTGTTGAAAGCGATTCCATCATCAATGTTATCAGGTGATCATAGACCTAAGAATGACTGACAAATGGTTTTAGAAGTACTTTGTAAGATATTTATTTCTGCTATTGCCAAGTGAAGACAATACAGGCTCTTGAAATGATATGGTTGGGGGGGGGGGCTGAAAAAGTTTGTGGCCTGATCCACTTCACTCAAATCATCAGATTGGGTAAAGTAATAGGGCTTCTTAGTTGAGTCAAGAACTTTTCAGCACACTATTAAATTTTGTTAATGGAATTGTTTTAATCATCATCAATATTATTATACACTTGCAACAAGAAACATACTGTCTAGTTTTATTTTAAAAATTTTTTTTTTTTTTTAAAACATTAGAAACCAATAGGAATTTTTTTATTTTTATAGTTTTTGGTAAATTGCCAGAGGTTTTATTAGAAGTGCCAACATTTAAATCTTGTGTTGAATTCCACATCATATAAATATAACATTAGCAAATAATCTTCTAACTGTTGCTCTTAGCCATAAGAGTTATTTACTCATTGCATATAGTAGGTGTGCTAATTATTTGAGTCATTTACAGTGATTTCCCTGAGGACTCTGTGAATACAGTCTTGTGCCAGATTTGGTATAACTTTATTTTCTTTTTTTCAAATAATCCTTCTTGATTTGAACCTTTTCTTAAAGTGACACAGTATATTTGCTTTGCAAGTGCCAAATAAAATTCTGAAAAATATCCTGTTGCAACAAATTATTGATTATTTCCCAGTTGGTTCATAACAAATTACAATGATCAAAAACATCTAACACAAAAGAACCATATTAAAAGGCTTCTCTTCTTTACAAAATGGTTGTATCATTTAACATCAATGACCAAGATAATTGTTTCAACATCACCAAAAGGTTTAAAGATTTAAAATAAAAAAGATAATCATTAGGAAAATTTATAAACTTCTTTAATAAAAGAAAAACAGATTAAAAGAAAATGATGAAAAAGCAAGGCCAGAAAAAGTAAAAAGAAAAAAAAAAGCATCTTCAAAATGCTAACACCATTTGAAACAATGCTCAGTGTTCATTGGGCAATTCATTTTCTGGGGGTAATGGCAGTGCACTCAGAAAGCTTTGTTTCCAGCCAAAAAAACAAGGAGAGCCAATGAATGCGCTAACAAAATGCAAGGCCAGAAGCTGAAAAAACAAAATAAATAAAACAAACAAACAAACAAACAAATGTTTATTTAATCAATGGAGGCAAGGCAACATTAAGGGACTTGAAACTTCCTTCAGATTAGAATATCTGCAGAGACAAGAAATATTATAGCAGTTGTTATGTTGAAAATTGTAAAAACAGCTGAATGGGACTAAATATTTTTTTTTAAAAAATCAAAAAAATCTGGCAAGTTTATAAAGTGCCAATAAATCCTATAAATGACAAGCTAATCAAAATAATTCTTTTCAAGCCTAAAGAATGTAAGAATTGTCAATATTGCTGTCTATGACATTTAAAGAGACAAAAATAAATAGTTTTAAAAAGTGACTAAGAGCCTGATGACTATCCTGAAAGAAATTGAAATTCCAAAGAAAAGAAACTGATAGGAAGTCATTTGGGAGATTTGTAATATTTTCATGAAATTCTTTGAAATTTTATGAGGCAAAAGTTATTTTGTGCAAAGGAATTCCAAAAAGAATTTACCATTTTTGAAATTTCATCACATTCTGAACTTTATCTTCATTTACAGTTGTTTGTATTTTACCAAAATGCGCATAGAACAATGGCTATCAGATTCACACAGACTGATTTTTTTTTTCTCCTCCCTTAGTGAAAAATGTGATAATTTTCAGGTATGAGTTTGACTTTCTAAGATAACATTCTTTAATTCAGTTGCTCAATACAACAGCTTCTGCCTTGACTGTTTCTTAAAAGGCATTTTGAAAATCTTGTATATAAACTGATATACAAACATTCCTGGGGTAGCAGTATGTAAAGGTGGCACCACGATATCATGATATTATAGAAATACTCAAAACTATATCAGTTGTATTCTGACACCAGGGCATGATAGTGGGTGCCAGACATATAGGACATGCCATTTCTGAAACTGAGGATATTTGACATGCCTCAAATCCGTATGTACTTGGAATTTCTGATAGAAGGTATTTTACAACCCTACCATGGAAAGTACAGTGGCTGATCATGTATCCTTAATGATCATGACCACAGATATGTCTAGAATTATTTGCACTAACATACAAGCAATGGTGGCTCAAATCCCATGCACATTCAATGTGGAACATACCAAATGAATATCCAGCTGGTGTGTTCAGCATTCTTTAATTTTCATGTAATATGATCCCCCACTCTATTGACACTAGACACAGCCACACACCTGAGCTTCTGGAGAAGTGACAACATATGGTGTTGCCTTATGAGTCAGTTCTAATTGTTTCAGAACCAGTGGTAGGGTTTAGATCTGGTACAAACTTCAGTTGTCAACAAGGCAGACAAAGATTGCTGATGATGTCATAAATTGGGTTCACTTGTTTGCCTAAAAGCATCATTGACCAGTGACTGTTACATATGTTTCTCTGTGCACATATTCACAAATTATTACAGCAGGGTAAGGCTGCTGAAAATTGATTTGAGGCAGATTCTGAAGGCTTCAAATTAATGATGTGGCCACCATGTTTGCCTGACAAAAGTTAAAATCAGCATTTATGGGACATGGTGTAGGAGGAGGTTGTCAATTTGCACATACACTCCTGCATCTACAAGTATCAGGGAGCTGCAGACAGATATCAAGGTGGCATGGCCCAACAGGTCTTCCAACCAATTGTGTAATCAATGTCATATCAATTTGGTGCATTTCACTGGGGTAGAAGTGATCCTAAAAAATACTTGGTACATATTCCTTGACACTTTTGGCATTCCAGTGTAAATTGATGAAATTAATATTTTGGCTGCAAACTTCCATTAATTCAAGTTTTAAGTTTGCTAGTTGGAAATAATTACCAAATATTAAACACCTTTAACTGACAGCTTCTTACAAATCCAACTCTTCTTAAATTGTTAGAAGATAAAATTGTCCATTTTGTTGAAAAAAGGAAGAAAAATTTAGTGTGAAGCATGTGTTTCTGTTTTATTTAAATATAACCTTAAAATTGCCTCTAGCAGAATTGACTTCATTTTCTATGAACTTTGCTGTTTGCAAATGACAGCTATACACATTCTGCTGGAATAACTCTTCCTTTAATTAAAACTTCTTCAAAGGAACCAAATAATGATAATTGTTGAATCTTTTTAATATCATTTCAATCAGAAGTGAACAAGGAATAATTGTTCCCCATTTCAAGCAACATCTTAGAATATGGTGATTCCTTATTCTTTTTTACCTTTGGAGATCAGCAGTATTACCATTTTGTACTAGAAAGCTCTGATTGGAATGGTTTTGAAATCTGTTTTCTAAAATAGTCATAATTGGAGATTCCCATTGATAAAAATTCATATTTGAAAAGCAGACACTAATATTGAAGCAGCTTTCAAGTGGAATAAATAAAATCCTAGTGTTATTGTTAATCAGGCTGCATCAGCAAAGATCCGTGTCCACTATTGTCTCCAGTGAATTGAAAGTTAATTGTTTAATAGAACCAAAAAGCAAAGCACACTAATGTTACAGAAAAGAGACAATAGCAAATCGACACACAAGCATGGAGCACATAAAGTATGTTTAGTAGAAAAAGCTGAGAAAAAGAGAGCAGATTAAAACAAGCGTCAAATGTTAGCAGCAACTGAAATAGTTGCTTAAGCAATGCATGCTGACTAACATCTATGGAGTGTAAGGTCTACAGAAACCAGTGGAAATTTGTCAAATTATATATATTCCCTACCAGAACAAAAAAAAAAAAAAAATTTCTCTCTTTATTTGTGACAAAAACCCTAAATCAATGTTGTATTGAAATTTGTGCTTTTAATTTGTATTATCGATGCCTTTAATAAACTTTTTTTTGATAATTAACCGTGCTCAAAATTAATAACAATTTATCGGTTATAAACTAATTCTTTTTACTCAAGAATTTATTAAATGAACTTCAGTTCCCCTAAAACAAGAAGAGTTGAGTTCATTGGAACCCCTAAAACGAGATGGACATCAGATCTGCACATTTTACCAAGGAGATGTAATCTTGGTCTTCAGATGCATTCAGGGACACCTTGTAAGAAAATTTTAGAAGTTGCCCAACAGAAAAAGCTTGACTTTGATCAACTGGAACCATGTTTGGTCATAAAATGAATTGATACAAAAATTGTTCTGTATTAAGATAATATACATCATAACATTAGGATTTAAATAAAAATACTTCTTATACTCCCTAAAAGTTCTCATTTTATTAATCATAGATTTAGATACTTTTATTTATTATATGTAAAACATAAGACATCTCTTTTAAATTATATGAACAAAATGCTTACAATAATGCAGGATGTTTTATTTATTTGTTACATACTTCATATTTTGATGTTATTAAATATATGTCAACAAAGTAAACAAGTCAAACTGGTTTTCTTCACAATAATATACGGTGTCCAGAACATTCAACTGGCACCATTTTCAGTAGCAAGCTGTTCTCAAACTCATAGAACATTCAACTGGCACCATTTTCAGTAGCAAGCTGTTCTCAAACTCATAGAACATTCAACTGGCACCATTTTCAGTAGCAAGCTGTTCTCAAACTCATATATGATAACAAATAAGAAATGTTTATAAATTTAACATGTTTTACTTTTATTTAAGCTTCATCAGAAGTTTGTGGTAGGGGGAATTTCAAAATATTTCTTAAACTTAAATAAAAACAAAACATGTTAAATTTATAAATATTTCCTATTTCTTCTTAATTCTATCATTGTCAGATTCAAATTCATAACCAGACGTCTAGCCACATTGATGAGTTTTGATACAGCAAAACAGTCTGTCTGTGGATGAAACACACACACACACACACACATATATATATATATATATATATGAATTACATAAAAATGAAACTCGATTGTATTTCATTTTTATGTAAATCATTTATATGCTCTATAATAAATATATTGAGCACTCTTTTGTGGATCAGTTTTAATATTTTATATTATTAGGATCTATTTGGATTGCTAACCCACGTATTTTTACCTATATATATATAACAGAGCAATTCCTCTTCTATACATGTTTCATTAAAGACAACTGACAAGGTACTGTGATTAAGCTTTTTATTTAATTTTTCTTGTGTTCATATAAATGTTTTCTTTTCTGGACACAAAATATAAATTGTACATCTGAGCACTTTCATCCATTCTTTTAACCATTATCAAGGGTAATTTTTATTTTTAACAGAATGTCTTGGGTTTTTATGTATGTCTCTGAAGTTATAAGAATGTTTCATTTTCCAAACACAGTCAGCACATTGTGGCCATGTTCATAGTTATTGAGTGTTGGATTTTCCTTTTTTATTATCAGGGCTTCCATTATTTTTAATCTTTTTTTTTTACATCTGGATAAGGCTATTATACTTGTATTTTCTACTAGTATGTTTCAAATGGAGTTTGGTAGGTTTTTGTGTGCTTAAATGCATTCTAATTGAGCTATGGTCAGGTAGGTGTAACTAGATGGAAGCTCTAACAATAAAAAGGAAAGCCAATACATGTTTGGAAAATCTAACAATAAAAAGGAAAGCCAATACGTGTTTGGAAAATAAAACATTCCCATAACTTTAGAGACACATACATAAAAAAAACTCACACATTCTGTTAAAAATAAAAAATAAGAGACAGAATAAAATCTAATATGTTTGCACAATGTGAATAGACAATGTTCTGGATTTTAATGAAATGCTACAATCTAAAATGAGTCTATAAAAAGATGTTAAGAGATTTTCAACTGGTCTATTGAAATAAAGATCAAATCAAGTTTGTGCTTTTTTTTTTTTTTTGTTCCCAAGATGAAGATTGTTAGTAATTAAATCTAACAGCTGTTTTTTTTTTTTTGTCTTTCAACGACTGCATTTTAACATGACAAAAATAAAAGGTGCAAATGAGAGCATTTAAACTGATAAGACGGTTAAGATCTACTGATTTCTTTCATACAGAATACTGCCTATTATTAGGATTCATTCTCTTAGAATGTTGATACTTGCCTCCATTTTCTCGTCTGGAATACTTGTCTATGTTTTCTTTCTTCGGATACTTGCCTGCATTTTCCTGCTTTGCTCTCTCAGAAGCAGCTGATGCAACTCTGCACTCTTGCAGTTCTGGAGACGGGATCAAACCAGCAGGCTCAGTGGGGGAGGAATTCCACTTCCTTGCTTGCCACCAGTGGGGGTCATCTTTGTTAATCACCTTGAGACAAAAAACAAATTCTTCTTGAATGAGAACATCCTCATGCATACATGTGTTTATGATTAATTATTTAATTGAAATGTAATTCAAACTTTTTTTAAGGTATGCTATATTTATGGGAGAAAAGTGTGCAATCAAATGCCATACATGTGACATAATAGGTAAAGATGTAGTGTAGTTGTGGAAGCAATGAGATATGAACAGGATTTAACACTGTTTTACTGCAGATTGATTATTTTGGGTCAGAATTTCTATCTCTGAGGTAGCAAGTGTTCTAGGCTTTTCTCAGGTAATAGTCACAAAGTTATACCAAAGATACATGAATTCTGGACAGATGCCAGCAGCACATGAAAACTGTGGCCATGGATGCAGCAGACAGGACCACCAATGATTGATAAGAATGTTAACCATCCAATGAAAAGGAACATTGCATTAAATCACATCCCAAATCAACACTGGTACCACTCAACCCATCTGTCAATGTACTGCAGAGTGTACATTGCATTATATGGGGGGTTTCATAGTTGTTGACCAACAAAAGTCTTTGGTTACTGCACTTCACATAGGTCAGAGAACATTATTGGATCACAGAAGACTGGCACAAGGTTACCTGGTCAGATGAATCATATCTCCAGATATTTTCTGGCATTGAGTTTATATAGGAAGAAAACATGAATTTATAGATTTCAGCCAGATGCTGTTGGTGACTCAGAAATGGTGTGCATGCATTCTTTTGAATTTTGTGAAACTGGAGAGTCTATCATAACGGATTTTGTGGCAGACGATTTGCACTCTTTTTATGCTTGCCATCTTTCCCAGCAGTGATGGTTTTTCATCAAGGTAATGCAACCCGTCTCCCTCATCATGTATAGGTGATACAAAACTATTTTCAGGAAGAGTTGCCTGGATTTCAGGCTCCCATGCTCACCAGATTTAAACCCCATTGAGCATGCATGAGATATGCTATTAATTGTATAATTCAGTTATAGCCAGTCCTAAAAACAGTATTAAACAACATTTACTGGCCTGAATGTCCAAGAAATTTTCATAGAAAATATGTGTCCTCCGACAGGAATTGAACCTGTATCCTATACGGAACCGTGCTTTACCATTTGAGCCACAGAGGAGCGTTTCGGTTAGCATGGTTGATTTTACTGTTTTTAAACTACAATTCTCCATGATTTATAAACATAAAAATGTCTTAAAATAATTGTTGGACTGTATCCATTTCTAAATGTGTGACGTCATTTGCTTACATTTGGATATGCATCGAGTAGATATGAATGTACAAGAGAAAATCATGGAGAATTTTAGTTTAAAAACAGTAAAATTGACTTTGCTAACTGAAATGCTCCTCTGTGGCTCAATTGGTAAAGCATGTCAGGCTATATGATGGTTCTGTATAGGTTCGAATCCTATCGGAGGACGCATATTTTCTATGAAAATTTCTCGGACATTCAGGCCAGTAAATGTCGTTAATACTGTTTATTATAAACAGAGCATTTACTTAAATATTTGTATCTATAAAAAGAATGTATAAACATAAAATTGTCTTAAAATAATCTGGTATTGTGTTATCTGAAGAGTTTAGATTAATTTCCCAGCACCTGAATATTTTTGTGGATCATGCACTTAAAACTCGACTAAAACTTCATGAAAATCTTTACATGTAGCAACAAAGTCATCTTCAGGAAAGACTAAGAGGAGAAAATCAAAAGTTATGTATTTTTGACAATTGTCTTCATCTTAATTTTTACTAATATATTCTTTAGTTTTTCTCATGATTCTTTTGAATGTGGTTGCTTTGAGAAGTCACTTTTTTTTTTGTTTATTTTGGTGTAAAAGTTGAGATAGCAAAGTGAATGTAAAGATGAAGAAAATTTAAAAAAAAATCTATGGAATAATGAAAACACTTGAAAGGCTTAATACCTGTAAGACATCCCCTATTTTGAAAGGAATGCCAGCTTGTGGGCAAGGATTCAGTTCATCAGTGGCAGGATCATAATCAAAGAGAGCACGGACAAAAATCTGCAAAAGGAACATAAAGACAAAACATAACGGATTAAAGAACTTTAAGATAATTTTGCAAAGTTAATAGGGAAGAATATTTGAAATTATTTTTGTATTCCAAACAAACATCTGCTTTAATCAGCATTCAGCTGAAAACAGAATAATGCTGAGATTTTCAGGATCAAACATTTTTATAATTTTATCTTTTCTAAATATAGGAACAGGTAACTACTTATTTTCTATGAGAAAAGTAGCAAAATTCCTACATCTAATGTGAACATTTGGTCTGTGATTTCTATTGGGAAAAAGAAAGATGGTAATGTCATATAATACAACATTGCCATCTTCTTTTCCCAATTTAACAATTATTCTTTTAAAGCTATCAAGAAAAAAAAAATGAATCCCAAATAAAGAGTGGAATTTGATTATAAAAAATAAATCACCTTTTTAAAATTTGACTTTCTTAATGAAAAACTAATATTTGAAACTTTTCTTTGTGGAGTAAGAAAAAAAAATAATCTTAATTTATACAACTCACCACTGAAGGTAATGACATTAATGAAATTTTAGAGTTTAAAAAAAATAAACTGCCACCTCTCTCTCTACACACACACACACATATATATATATATATATATATATATATATATATATATATATGCAGCAATCCTTTGTTTTAACATGTTTTATTAAATAGAATAGAAAATCAGCATTTATTTTTTATATTTAGGAAATTATACATACATATATATATATGTTTCATTGAAAAAGATAGACTGTTTATTCAATTTTTTCTTTATATAGAAGAGTGTGTGTGTGTATATATATAATGCACACACAAACTAATATATATATATATATATATAGGTGGCCTGAGGATTGCATAAAACAGACTGTCACCTGTAATTGTTGACTTCTATGTTCACTTATATAATGCATACACAAACCAATATATATAATGCACACACAAAGCAATATATATATAAGCACACACAAATGAATAAAACTGATGAAGCTAATTAGAATTATTCTACTCTTATACTTTTGATAAAAAAAAACAAAAACTGATATAAACCCAAATATTTAACGTTTGTTAAATTATCGCAATTATTTTAATTATTGTCTCTGGTTTAACATGACAACCAATTTTGCATCTTTATATAAAAAGATTCCCAATATGTCTGTTGCTAACCTTTTACGTCCACCTTCATGCACTTGACCAGTTTGAACCTTTTCACTCCTACATGTGCATAATTCCAGTGACCCCATCCCTCACAAGACCTCAATTGGCCAGCAGTATATCCAAAGCAGATGAAAATGAAGTATTCAGTGATGTTATTGATTAAAAGTTTGGGGGCAAGAGATGCTTTCTAATTAATGCACATCCATTTTATTCTGTACTTGTCGGCCATCTTCATATCCATTAAGCAAGAAATATATTAGTCATTTTCCTTCAAGCTAACAAAAAGATCATTTCAAGACAACAACAACAAAAAAAAAAAAAATGAAACCATATTATTTAAACCATATTGATAATATCAAAATGACTTTAATTTTTTTTAATCCCCCCCCCCACCAGCTTGTTAAATAACATGCCATCATTTTCTGTTTCCTTCAGATGCAAATCATTTCATTTTAGTTATTGCTCTATGGGATCAGTTTTATTCCCTTCATGCCAAAATCCCCTGAAGACTGCTACAAAAGTGACAAGCATAAGTTTAACATGAAATCTTTTTCTTAAAAGTCTCATGGAATTTCCTAGAATTTCAACCCTAAACATATTCTAATTTATTTCTTCTTTCTAGCTACAAATATGGAAAAATGTAATCTATAAAAGAATATTTTAGAATTTAAACTTTTTCAAACTTGTGCAAAAACATAACATAACATTTTATTTTAAAATAACAGACTTTCTCTTGACAATTTACATAGAAAATTAGCTTATTTCCCAATGTATAGTACTTTCTTGAAATTTTGCAATATTTAGAAGAAAACTACTTCCTATTCAATGGAGGATTTGGCCATAATTATATATCAGTTTAATTTTAACATTAGATTTGTAATCATAATTCAATCATTTATATCACACACACACATTATAATATATATATATATATATATATATATATGACATTTTTATGTTTATATATTCTTTTTATAGATACAAATATTTAAGCTCTGTTTTATAATAAACAGTATTAATAACATTTACCAGCCTTTACTTAAATATTTGTATCTATAAAAAGAATGTATAAACATAAAAAATGTCTTAAAATAATTGTCAGACTTTGTCCATTTCATAATATATATCTATATATATGATCTCATTCTAGGGTCATCAGGGGACTAGTATATCAGCCCAGTTAAGGTAACCTAAGATGATTTTTGGAAAGAAAATTGTTTTCAGATTATTTCTTCAATTTCCTTTCAGATGACAGCTGCAGTCTTACTTCTTGGACAAAACTTTCAATCATTTCCTTCAAAATTCAATTATCTTAAACTGAATGTGACATTATAAATAAGTAAACACTACAGAATGTATGTTTAAGATCTTAAAATAAGTAATTTTTGAAAATGAAAAGTCAGCATTTGTTTATTGGGGTTTTGTTTTTTTATAAAAACAAATGTTAACAATCAGAACAAAATGGAGAGAAAACAAAAGCCACAATGCAACATGAAAAGCCATAACAAAAGCAAAACAAAATAGAAAAGAAAGCAACAGAATGCAAACGTGTTTTCTCTCCTTGACATTTCTCAGATTTTATGTCCCACGTTGTTGCAATCTGCAAAATTATTCAGTTGACCTAACAGTTTTCAAAAATAAATCGATATGAAATGGTTTGTGTCATTTGCACTCCTCCCAAATTAATATATAATTTTCTGTTAAAAATAAATGGGTAAGAGAAATTTATATTGAAGGAGCAACAGAATTATAAACATGTATCCAAGACAGATTTCTATAGCAAAATAGAAAAATGATTCTGCTTTCTATTAGAACATTTTAAAATTACTAAAACTGTTCTTTATAATAAAGCAAAAAGAATTCTAAAGTATTTCAAATAAATGTGCATCATCTCTTTAAGTTCTCCTTTCCACTTATTTTTAATTAACAGATTAACATAGTGCAATTAACAAAATTTATATTAATTGATGGAATCTGAAATCCTTTTGCAATTGACAAATATTTCGCCATTTGAACTAGCTTTTTATTATATTTCAATTGTTGAATTTTTCCATTTGGAAGTTGTCTTTTTCTAAAAAATATGATCGTGCATGTTTCACAATTATTTATAAAGGTTTCTGTTTTCTCTTCATAAATCATTTTTAAAAGTATTTTGTACACAATGTCCCCCCCCACCCTTTCTCTGTAAATTTATTTGATTCAGTCATTGTCGTCATCCTATCTATTAGCTGTGGGAATCCTTTTATATAAATAGAATATCTTAACAAGAAAAGTTTGTGAATTCAGAAATGTGGCATTGGATAATCAATTATTCAACACAATTCTACAGAAGACCAATTGACGTCTTATAAATGAAGAAATTTCTTTTTAATGATTTCCTTTAGACTATGCCAGGTTTTGACGATTGTTCAAATCCTAAAGATGATAATCTTTTGTTTAAGCTTTCAAATTCATGCCATCATATCTATTGGGGAGGGGAAAAGATAATCAGTTCGATTTTAAAATAAGATTATCATCAACTTTACTCTGGGATTAAAATTTATTTCTAAATATTTAAAATAATGAGAAAAAAAATCCATGTTGATAACAAAATAAAAACTGCAAAAAAGTAAAACTAAAATAATCCAAGAAAAGAGTTTCTGACATCAACAATAACAAAAAAAAAAAAAAAAAGTCAAAAGATTATGTTCTACCAATCTTCCATGTGGGGAGGGCCTTACCTCCCTTGCAAGTCAACAAAATCCTGACTTTCATTTCATTGAAAATATGCAACTATCTCATCCACCAAGCTAGACTATTTATGCATTATTAGATTTTTTTCTAAATATATTTTTCTATTGTATTTATATTACACAAGAAAATAAGCTGTCTTTGTTTTAGAGCACATATGAGCCAGCTTCAAATGATTAAAACATTTTGCTTTTTCTGAGTCCAAAAAAAAAAAAAAAAAAACAGTAGAAAAGTAAAGTTCACTTTGAGCAAGTCTTTCATATCAGTTTTTTTTTTTTTTTTTTTATGAACAAGAACGTATTTTTGGACATATCTTCCTTCTGTTACTAGTTTTATAACATCAATAGTATTTGCATTATCTTCCAATCTTTGCAAAATATAAGTTTTTCTTCATTCTAAAATCTTTTCATTTAAGACAGGGTACACATAAAAGGTGATGTCTTTAATATACACCTTCTCAAAGAATATCTGACATGAGGAAATGTCCCACCTAAAAGAGCCAAAAGTAAGAAAAAGGGATATTTAATGACAAAATCTTTCTCAAATTTCAGCAGGGTTAGTCAACAAAGAGAAATGGCTAACTTGTAACTGAACTTTTGTAGGAGTTGCCTTCATTCTTACAATATAATGATCAAATCTTCGTCAATTGAGTCACATCACGTAGTGCAAGAAATGTTGAGCTCAATTACTGCTGCCATAACAAATGGCTCAAATCGGAATGTTTCTCTGCCTTTTCAACAGAATCAACAGTACAAATCTGACTTTTTTTTTTTTTCAAGTTGGTTGATGAAATTTTCTCTTGTAGATAATCACTATATGATTGAATAAACAAAATCAATTGTTTTTTTTTATTCTCAAAAATGAGAATCAAATTGAAGAGAAAAAAAAAAAATCAACAAAAATAAATTTTTTCTAGTTCATTAAAAAATTTCAGTTGACAGTTTGCTATCAAATTCACCCTTTCTTTCTTCATGACAACAGTTGTGAAAGTTGTGTGATAATTTTCACAGGATCAGCTGTTTGCTTTGTCTTTAAAAAGGGAAACCATTTAATTGCAATCCAAGATTATCAAGATATTTCTGAAGATTTGCAGTAAAGACATTGAAGGCAAAGAGCAGACATGAGAGAAGCAAGCAGGGATTTTGTATATTTGTTTTTCTATTTTTGTGCAGACAAGATCAGTGCAACATGCTCACCAAATGCGTCACAGAAAGAAACAGAAAATAATGTCATGCACAAATGTTAGTTGATGTTGAAGTTAAGAGCAAATAGACAATTCATATCTGTACTGTTATGGAGAAGGAAACTTGAGTGCATGACATGTGTTGAGTCAATATCAGTTATCAGACTTACATCTGTATGACATGAAAAGCAAGTGTACAATATAAAACTTTGATACTTAGCCTCCTAACTCTAATACCAGCACAGTAAATACACTGAATTCATTCAAGTGCATTTGACTGAGAAATCTAACAGAAAATAATTTATTGTAAAGTTAATGAATTAAAATATATTTGAATATTATGGAGAGGAAAACAACTATTACAGGTAAAATGGCATTAAAATATATTTCAGAATAATCTGTGTTGAAAAATAATATAAAAGTAATTTGAATATTATATCTGCACAGTTTTCATGTCTATTTATCTTTGCCTTTCAAGTTCAATAATATGTGGAAAGAATTGGTTGAAATTTGAACATATTTCTAATCATTCTATCCAGTGGTGGGATCAATTTTTTTTTTTTTTTTTTTTGAGGGAATTTTTCAACGAAATTGAAATTTTTTTCTTCAAAAACCGTTTATTAAAATAAGGCCATTTTAGTGATAGACTCATGAGCCAATGGGTTGAAGGAGTTGTATGTTTGCCACAGGTTCTATCATAAAAGTTTAATGTGACAAATTAGTTGAATAAATAGCTTAGAATAAGGGATGAATATAATTTAAAATCATATCTAAAGCCAGCTTAAGAGCTCAAATCTAACAAGCAAATATTTTAGATTGTAAAAGAAAATGTAAAATCAATACAGTTGGTTGTGAAAATGTGCCATCTCCTCTCAGGATGTTGCTGATGATAGCTCTCCACAATTTCCTGTCCTTTGTAGCTCTTAGTAGATTTTGTCTTTTTGCTATTTCTTCCAAACCCCGTTCTGCCAATCATTTACACAAGCTTTTCAGGCAGGTGATGTGCCTTTTTCCTCTCTGTCCCTGTGAGTATCAAATTTTCCATGCCCTCTTCAGTATTTATATGACCTAGAAATTTCAACTTTCTCTTTATAATTCTAAGTTTCCATTTTCTCTAAAATGTTATCATTCACATGTTTAGTCCATAGTATTCTCAGTATCCTTCTGTAGAACCACATTACTTTGAGGAGATTGTCCAGCATTTCGTGCCATATAGGAGTACTGACATTACATAACATAACAGTTCAGTACTCTTTTCTTTGTTTCTAATGAAATTTTCCTGTTTCCTAATTACTTAGTTTTTCAAAGGCATCTTCAGATTTTGTTGTATTTTCCTTCCTCTGTTAAAACACTTCCAAGATATTTAAATTTTTGTATTTGTTTGATTTTGGTATTTGCAATTTGACTGTTCCTTTTACTGAGAACCATGCATTCAATTGATGATTAGTCCTTTTTTCTTCCTTTCCTTCACTATCTTCTGTAGGAGTACTTGTAGTTTCCTTTCTATTCCTGCAATCAACACTAAAACAAGTATGATTTATGATGATAATAATGTAGCAAGGAACACAAAATTGCTGAACTGAGTTCAAATTCTGGCTGTGACCACTAGGTCACTCTACATTAATGGCTTTGCACTCTGACCTTTCACCAGATATTTTAACAAAGATCTTGTTCCTGGTATGCTATGAAGAATGACAGAACAATGACAAGAATTGTTCCTTAGTAAAAGGTTACATGGTTCCTGTAACATTCATCACATGATACATGGAAAGAAAATGAACACTAGTAAATAACTACCATCAAAGATCCAACATGGTACTTCAATGATTTCCTAGATTAATGGTTTGTTTTTTCTTATTTAATAGCACATCAATCTTCATAGGCCTGCTAAATCCTTTTAGTATACTAATTGATAATTAGTATACTTAAGCTTCGTATGAAAGTTTGTTGTTGTTGATTAAAAGAGGTTCTAAAAAAATTTTTTTTTTTTTTATTGTGAGAGATTACATGTTTGTGTAAATCCTCACCTGTTTTAGTTAAGGATATTACTCAGCTAGATTAAAGGAACAATTAACGAAGGGGTGTGTGTGTGCCTTCAATGTTGTATGAAATTGAACACAACTTCCACTGAGTGATTGACATTTACTTTAACCCAACCCACAAAATCAAGATCAGAAATATATATCTTTGAGATCTTGAATAACGATAGACAATTTATCAGTGTCAAGTTAAACTTATTCTTAACCCTCTGATTCTGATCAGGACAGAGTGATGTGAGTAGTTAAGGGCCAAATGTGATTTCATTCAAAGTGTTTATAAAAATGAAACCTCAGATTTCAATTTCTTTTTACATTACTCAACAATTTTTGAATACTTCATATTGGTTTTGTTTAGAAGAGGAGTAAAACTGTTTTTCAAGATTTTTCTTCCATTTTAAGAAACGTTCTTCAAAAACCAAAAATGTCAAAAGTATTTTGTGTCATCAGATTTTCATCATCTCTGGAGTTCATAACAATTTGATTAGCAAGGTATAACAGATATGCTCATTCTTTGTAAAACTATTCAAATATTCTCAAAGATGGCATCAGGGTAGGAAGTGGAACTTCATCAAATTCTAAGAGACAAACTGGCAGTCATCAATGTTTCAGTAAACTCTATTGGTGAAATATGACAAAAATTTCTTAAGGTTGAATGAATTCTTGGTTGGCACATTTTTCAACTATTCTAAAAAGGGGGTCGTATCTGAATCTACATGCATGAATAATCTCTCCTCCTTTAGTGATCCAAGACACACAAAATTCATCAAGCACCATAAATACATGTGAGGAGACGAGCTGAATGAAGCCACCATTCAAAATGACGAAAGGGGAGTCTAAATAAATTATTTAATAATGACAATTCACCTAAGACATTCAGACAACATAAATAAGCAGTGAAACAATTCAATAAACATCATAAATGAATGAAATTTCTAATCTTTTAACTTTGATATTTTCTCCTTCTTTGACAGAAAAACTATTTCCATTACAAAATAATACGATCCAAATTATAAAAAGTTCACCACAAAGTGAAAAATTTCATGTTCACTCAAATTTGAAACTTGTTTTTCAAGTCAATGTAGTGGTATTTTTAAAAGCTTCACTTGCAACATCATAAAGGAAAAAAAAAAAAAAAAAAAACTTGAGAGATGTGCGCGCGCGTACACACACACATGCAGCAAGACAAAATGGGGAGACAATCAACTAGCACTGACTAGTGACTACAACTAGACTGGGTAGGTGGCACTGTGATCAGTGAAAGGCTCTACAGGTGAACGTGGGTGTCTTTACCTCGCACTGAGCGGGAGCATGTCTGTAACTAGGGACAATCTTCAAACCTACATTCCCTCGTGCTTCTTTCTGGAATGAAAGAAATTGACAAGAAAGGTGCTTCAGAAAAGAAAAAGAAAGTGAGACAAAAAAAAGGAATGAAAAACAAAGCCGTCATCACGACTGACCTACCTCTTTTGGGCTCAGACTCTGATCAAACTTGTCGCTGAAGTACCAGGAGGAAGCAGAAGGGACAACGTTGAAGCTGACGGCGCCTTGCAGGGATTTCTGGCAAACACAGTAAACAATGGAGCAGCAATGAGCGAACGCACACTCGCTTTTTGCAGGAAAATAATTCCAGTGAGTGGCAACAGAGGCCCATTTCTTTGGGTTTTTTTTTTTTTTTGGATGGAGTTTTTTTTTGTTTTTTTTTTTCGATGGGTGGAATTAAAAAATTATTTTGTTATTAAAACTGTCTTGCTCTGTGAATAAAATAACTCAGGGATTTAATTTAGTGAACAATCTCACCAGTACACTCCTTGCCCCATTTTTAATTGGTACAATCTCTGATCTTCTGCAATTGTTATACTCAGTGAAATAATTTAATACATGGAGTTGAGCTCAGGAGTTCAATCCTAAGCTGAGCTAGCTGATGCAATATATTATATTTGATGGCTTACAACATTACCCGACCCAATGTAAAACACTTCCTTTACTACTTTCTTGAATGTTTGTCTGTTCACTTGTATTTGGTGGCTGAGATGACAGATCAGAAAAACTACCAATTGAAACTTTGAAATGACATGTGGGATGGTCCCCTTTAAATCCCTGAATTAAAGAATTTAGAAATCTGAGAAGGAACTTACCAAAGTTTCTTTTACCTGAAACTGCAGACATCCTTTCTTTCAGATAAATTCTTTTCAGTACAGTCTAAAATTTCTGATGAAAAATTTGCTACTCTTTATTAGATCAGATAAATAAATATGTCATTAAATTTTTTGACTGTATCATGAAATTGACACCTGAGATTAAAAATGTTCTCTTCTCTTTATTATTGGATGAGCATATTTTTTTTTAGGCTTATTCATTGGCCAGAAGCATGTGTCTTGAAATGACTGGCATTAACCTATTGCTATGAGGTAAAATGGTGCATCAGTAAAGAATTGTAGCATCTTTAGATGACAAGATAGTGCTAAAGAAAATGGATGAGCAAGCAGCATGAAAACTGGATACAACAGCCAAGTTCAAAGGTTACTGCATTCATGTCATACTAATTCCCTTGGAATAGGCACAAATCCATTTCAATTTCCTCTCAGCTATTTGATGAAATTAAAATATGAGTGCAGATTTAGGCTCACCATCTGAAGGGACAAACTTAGAGAAAAAAAAAAAAAATCAAGTCGCTGCAAATAGTGGGGTGAGTTAAAAATTCAGAATTGTTAATTTAAAAAAAAAAAAATTATACATCAATTTTAACCATCAACCAAATATAAAAAGCCAAAATTATTTAGAAATAATTCTAATGGTGTTAAAGTCAATTAAAATTCAGAGAGAAAATCTTTTCAATTGTGCCAGTATTATTTTTTTATTAGTTTTTTTTATCTTTTGTTGGTTTTTATTGCCAAATTTTTTGAGCCATGAATGTAAGTGGCTTAAACAAGACTTGAATTTGCCATCTCATTCCATAGGAATCTGTTATAACCCCCTTCCACACTTTGACTATCAAAACCATTATAATCAGAAAGAAAGATAAAGAATTGTGCTTAATCATAATGGCTGTAATAACTGCCTCTTTGCTCCAAATTAATGCAATTTCATTTGAGAACCAAAGAATAGATCTGCTAAAAGCATTGTAAAAAAGAAAATAATCAGATATGATATGGCTAAAATTGTGTTTTACAAAGTTAAAAAAAAAAAAAAAAAAAAAGGAAGTTAATATCCTTCAATCACAACACCCCCCAGGATTAAATAAGAGGAAATATTTGAAAAAAAAAAAAAATAATATAAAAATAAACACCAGAAAGTTAAAGTACTTTTACTGAATAATTATTAAGAAATAGCATTCATAAACCTTTCCTATTAAAAGAAGCCATTATTATAGGACACAAAATGGAGGATTAATTTAGTACTTAAGTAAAAGTGGAATTGATCCCCTCTTTGTATACTTCATAAATGCAATAGAGTTAAACTTTCTGCAGTGATGAAGAGAAACCCTGGCAAATGCCCTCCTCAAAAGTTTTGCCGAGGAAAGAATTTGATTATAATTTTGTAATTATTTCATTTTATCCACTGAGGAATTTAGAATAAAATTATTCATAAAGAAGGGAAAAAAAATCAGACATTACAAAAAATTTTTTTTTCTTATGAAACATTTCAGTGATTAAAAGTTTGAAAGCAAAATGAATAGAATTTTCTGTGTGGTAAAAATAAGAGGAAGGAATTGAAAACATAATGGAAGGCGCTGCGATGATTTACGTTAGTCGTTTACTTGTAATTATAAAATCACTCAGAGCTGGAATAAAAGAAAGCTTTTTACAACAACAACAACAACAAAATATTTTTTGTTCTTTTCTTTAACACTCAACAGGAAAGGAAGAAAGCCTAAAGAAAAATAAGTCAAAATTATTATTCATAAAATCAAACAAAAGTAAACAAAAAGAAAGACAATAAAGAAATAATTATTTACAGGGATTTTTAAAAAAAAAATTATAAAATATTGGCAGGGGAGGTAAACGGTCAAAATCATGGATTTTATTTTTGTTTATTGAATCAAATGCAACTTATTCATTAAGCCTTTCAGGTACTTTGATATGGTGTAATGGTTAACAAGTTTGTCTTGCTTGATCAATGATCAATTACAACTAAATAGTGACTTCAATCCTCATTGGGTGCTACATATGTGCAACTTTGTGCCACATCTATGCTTAGTAACTCACTACGCATTTAGACTTTCTAAACATATCAATTTTCCTTCTTTTTCACCTGAATCGTTCTGACCAATATCTTCATCTTTTTGTTTAACTACATTTGTTACTGTTGCTTTCCAAACTAGAGATAAACACAAACTAAGATGGCTAAGCTGAAAGTAGCACAGATTTTACAAGTGGACAAATGTAGTAAAAAGATAGAAAGATGACTTTAAAAACATTGACTTTGCTGGTTTTTCCCAGATATTTTTCAAAGGAATTTAATCATTCTTTTTTTCATCCAACCTTTCGACTGATGTCCTATTTGCTCTTCTTGCACCTGTTGCCTCAGGTGTGCCTTTTGTAGTCAATTAGTAATTTTTCTTTCTTATCTCTTCAGCAAAGACACTGGATGATGGAATAAATTCAGAGGACAAAATGCTTAGTTTAACCTGCAAGCTCGATTAGGACCTAATTTAAATACACACAGAGACCTAACAACTTCTATCCACAACATACTCATAAAAAAACAACCAACATAATACACTCGTCTAACCACAGAAAACACTTAAAAATAAAGGAAGCCTTAATAATCAAAAACAAGAAACCAACTCTTAATATGAATTATGTATGTGTTGTGTTTGGGAATTAAAACATTTCTAGCATTAAATAAATGACCATCACAATCTACATATTAAGACAAACAAAAACATCTTTGATAATCTCTAATAGATTAAATGAAAGTGTTCTGACCACAAAATCATTTGAATGGTTCTTACACAATCAGTCCAAAACAAAAAAAAAAACGAAGAAATCTCTTCTATGCATGCAAGAAAAATACAATAAAAAATCTTTATTGCAATGTTTCTGTTATCTCCAATGAAACCTGTATAAAATAGGTATTGCTGCCCAAATACACTATATATATATATATATATATATATATATATATATATATATAATAAATGCAAATATAAAATTTAGCACTCTAGAGTTTCATAGACAGACTCACAAGAAATGGCTCTGTCAACTAGTTAGGGGTATGAGATGTGACTTGATGAACCAGGAAAATATATTTTCTAGGAAATAAATTATAGTCATGGAAGCTTAAAGTTGTCTATTCCTTAATTATTTAATTTATATTTGGTCTGGTGTTACATTGAGCTGATTACATCCTCTTTGCAATTATCCACATGGATTAACAAACCCTTTGTTTACTTTACTATATATATATATATATATATATATATATATATATATATATATATATATATATATATCACAGCAAGTATTCATCCAAACAAGTTTGATTAAAAAAAATTGACAAGGTCTGTTTAATTTTTTTATTATACTTTTTCCACTTTCAGACAATACTCAACATCTTATGTGAAAGTTGGAAAAGTATGATAAAAAATTAGACAGAGGTTTTCATTTCTTTATAATCAAATTTTATATATATATATATATATAATACACACACACATGGTCCAGTATCAAAAGAAATTCTACGTCTATTTTTAATCAATATATTTATCTGCATTTCTTTTCATAATTGTTACCAATCTTAAAGTATTTATTTTGGCAAATGTAATATGAAATTCAAATTAAAAGCTGACCTGCTTGATTTATTTGAAATGCCATGAATTTATTTTTATGAGAGGCATTTTCATTGGATCTTTTCACACTAGAAATTTTGCCAACTGTGTTCATTGGAAAAAATGAATCTTAATTATTGGATTTTACATGCTTGATGAAAATAATGTTGAACATGGGGTCAAGTTAGTGACTATTTGTCCTTGAAGGATTTCTGAAATCTCGTTCATACATCATGTTCTTTTTGAAGTAGTAATAAAACAAAGCTTAAAAGCTAAACACTTTCTTTGACAAAACCTCTGACAAAAAAACATTTTGTTTGTCAATGAAAAGAAGCATATTCAGGTGAAAGAAATCAAAGGTTTTCATTTGATTTTTACACACCTAGGCTTTCATAAAACAATATAAATATGACTTGTGATTGCAAAGTTGTACATCAACTCTGCTGACATTCACAGAGAAATTTAACATTCACCCCCTCTTTTCTAAGGTATTTTGGATTTGGAGATTTCAAATAAGCAAACTTTGGAAAATGATCAAACATTAGAAAAAAAACAATTTATTTCAATCATCAATGCAGGGATTAAAGTACAGGCAAATTGTAACAGAAAATAGTCTTACTGTTTAACCCATAGGGGAGGAGAAGTGGTGAATTTCCCAAGAGTATTTGCATGTAAGTGAATGTAATGAACCCAAATGGAATTTGAACCCAGCTCTCCAATCTATCATTTCAAGCTCTTAACCCTTACACCACCCATCCTTATTTGAATAAAACCACGGCAACTATTA